ATTGCAGACAAGGCTCCAATTAATGAATAATGAGTTGAAGTTCTTTAGGGAAATTAGCTTAAATTCATTCTTTAGTGAAAGTACCTACACTAAATCAAACTGGGTTAATCAAATGTTACCTAATAATGGACTTCAGGGAATCTGTTAGAATAGAAAGATAAAAATTTCTTAAAGTTGACATATCCATTGTGAGTGTGTAAACAGGAACTTCTCTTAGAGTGGCTGGATAATTAGTGTGAATCAAAGAATGCTTAAAGTATTATTCATCACACTCCAATACTCCAGTGAACGTTCTTAAGTATCTAACCTCTCAAAGTAATTCATTTGGCACACTAGAAACCTTCTTAAGTGCTGCAGGTGTAGAAGTAGGTGGTTGGATTAAGTGGAGCAGGAGGCATGGAGCAGGGAAGAGCCCCCTCAACTCAGGCATCTGTATCAGGGATAAAACACCACCCTAACACGTCAGGTCCCTTGAACTTTTCTAAATTCTTGGTTTCTGGGCTCCATGCTGGGGCAGAGAAGCCCAAAGGTTCAGCTCAGTTCCAGGCTGAGCTGCTGTCCTGGCTGACAAAGCACAGCCCAGGTCTCAGTGGAACCCCATCCCAGCCTCTGTGATGCCTGTGCTCCACCCTGGCCGTCATCAGCCATAGGTGCCCACCTGGATTCAGACTCCCTGCCTTCCACTGCTTGCAGCATTTCTAGAGGGAGCAAAGGAATTGGTTCTGATAAAGAAACCTAGAAGCTTCTTTATTTTCTGCAAATGTTGACAGAAATGTGTTGGGGGTGGGGGGTCCTTACCTAAAACTCAGCATTTCCAAAATCAAACTCATAGTTCCACAGGAGCCTGTTCCTTCTACCTCCCCCATCCCAGTGCATAGCAACACAGGGAAGTTAGTTTTCCTGGATCCCTTCAGTGAAGATCGATTCCTATAGCCAACTGGTCACCAAGGCTCATGGCTTCTACTTCTGATTGTGGAGAGGGAGGAACCCCCAGAGACTTCCAGGTCCTCGGCCAACACCTTCCCTTGCTTCTGTTTGCCCTCTCTGGGGTATGTATGGGTTGCCTTGTCTGGCTCTCCTACTGTCACCTGTACCTGTGGACCCTGCCATCCTTGCTCCATCAGTGTTTGAGGGGCTGCCAGCCTCAGAGAAGATATAAGATGCCTGCTGCAAGAATAGGAACCCACCGTGGAGGTGAGCAGAAGAAACAAGAGACACAATTCTATGAACATTCTCAGCTGCCAAGGACCAAGCAGCACAAAGGCATGGGGGAAGGGAGCTGGGTCGCCAAGGAAGGCTTGTTGAGGGATGGGGACTTAAGTGCACTTAAAGGAGAAGCAAGCAACATTTGTCACGCACTCCTGGTGCCGGGTGAGGAGTTTTAACCTCCATACTATAGTGACAGACAGGTACTGAGTCAGGAAGATCTAGGTTTGAGACCCACGTTTGTCTCTTACCAGCTGTGTAATCTTCAACTTTCCTATTCTCCATTCCTATAAAATGCTGAGACTACATCACAGGGTCATGAGGATTAAATGAGTTCATACATTTAGTATGCTCAGCCCAGTGTCTATCACACAATAGCACTCCGCTAATTTTCAGCTCTTAGTAATGTTAATCCTTGTTAACAACCCTTAGAAAGAAGGTTGCTTCATTCTTTCATTCAGATATGTCCACTAAGGGATGCAGAGGCCAACAAGACCAACCTAAAGGAGGTTCTTCACAGCCCAGTGGGAGCCCACAGACACAGAGACAATCAATGCACGGCATTTGCAGTGTGTACAGAGTGCTCAGAAAGCAAAGGATTGCAGGTTACCTAATCTGCTGGGGAGGGGCAGGTAATGTCTCCCAGATGATACCTGAAATGGATCTTGGAGACTCAGAGCTGTAAAAGTTATGCTGCCTCCTGGGGAAGGGGCTGGGTGAGCACCATATTTCTGAGTCAAGTAGGCTGGACACTCACTGGTAGGAGGAGGAGAGGGTGAAGGAGCTCAGTCATGAACAGCTTCTTTTTTTTTTTTTTTTGAGACAGAGCCTCAAGCTGCCCCCTGGGTAGAGTATGATAGCATCACAGCTCACAGCAATCTCCAACTCCTGGGCTCAAGCGAGTCTCCTGCCTCCGCCTCCCAAGTAGCTGGGACCACAGGTGCCCGCCACAACGCCTGGCTATTTTTTGGTTGCAGCCGTCATTGTTGTTTGGCAGGCCCGGGGTTGGTTTGAATCCGCCACCTTAGCTGTATGTGGCTGGCGCCTTAGCCACTTGAGCCACAGGCACCAAGTCTCATGAACAGTTTCTTATGAAACAATGAGGAGGAGTGTCTGGACCTCTGATCAGGGGATGGTAGGGAGCTGCTGAAAATGTCACCAGTGGAGTGATATGAGCAGAGGCATTCAGGAGAAGCAACTCTGGGAGCAATGTGAAAGGGGCACACCTGGCCAGATGAGCAGAAAGGAAAGAGGACATCAATCATGCTGCAGTCAGGTGCCCCCTCCTTCATCTTTACCTCTACTCGCTCAGCACAAGCAACCCAAACATTAACCTCTGTAGCAATCCTGAGGTTATGTAAGTGAGCAGATGATTAATAAATGTAAGATTTCTAACTGTGATATTTTCTTCCCAAAGTACAGCAGCCTTTAAGACTGTGAAAAAAAACTGGAAACGTCAGGTCAGCTCCAAGTTGTTTAAAAAAAAAAAAAAAGACCAGAGACCATTTGTATGTTGTCTTAAAACCAGGTTTTTTATTGGTGTGTACACACCCACACTTACATCCACACACACCCATACACCCACTCCTGATGCACTGGGCCAATACAGTACTGATAAGGGACCTGATGAAACACAGGAGGCTGGTGAGGAAGGCTCAGGTCACTGGTGACTCTCCATAGAAAAAAAATATATTGTCTACGAGGCAAGAGCTATGCTAAGACACCATCACTATATGCACGTATTTCTTTTCTCTATCACCTCGCTGCAATACTTCCCAAGGTAACCTAAATGGACTGGGCTCCCCCCAGCTGCTGCCTTATGACACAGCCAACCATGATAGAGTTATGCCAGAAAGGAGAGGCTAGGGTTCAATCTCCAACACAGCTAGGCCACTGACCTGAAGGAGTTAGATGGCCTTATGATGCTCAACTCCACCAATCTCAGGAATGTGGGGTTTCTCCATAATCTTAGCATCCAAGGATGGGGGTTCTTCCTGCCCCCATCATTTTCTACTCAATAACTCCTCCACCTCCAGCCCCAGTCGCCTGGTGGGCAGGGAGGCCAGGGAAGAGTGAGGGAGAGCAAGGGTAGGTGGTTGCCTTACCCAAGCCTAAGGAGCACCCACCCTGACACACCACTGGAGAACCTCTCCTCTACTGAGAAGTGGCAGAAGGTAGAAAGCCCTGGCACTGCCCCAGGCCCCGTCACCCCTCCAGATGGGGTGCTCTGGACCATTAACCCACCTGCTAGCCCAGCCCCAGCTCAACCTGAGTTGACCAGACTGTGAAGCAGCTGTTCCAGCCACCTGTAGGATGGCATTGCACTGGCCCCTCTCCAAGAAACATACTCCACACACTTTTCCTTTCCTCTCACTTTGATGAAGGCCTAGGTTCCATCATCCTATCCTGAACATGAGTCCTGAACATTTTCAGGCTCCTTTGTAGGAAGAGGGATGGGTGAGCAAAAGAGATTTCTTGGGATCTGTATCCCTGGGCCCTGGCTCCCACCATGCTTTTGGAGACTGCAATTTAAATGGTGGAAGTGAGTAGATCTTAGGAATTTCTGGGGGAAAGTCCTTGTACCCCAAAAGAGCCCTGAATAATAGTTGGGTGATTTGGGGACAAGCAAGAGAGTGACTGCCTTCATTAGCATTGGATTTCCTGGACCTGGGACATGGTTCACTGGAGGAGAAGCTTAATTTTCATCCTGGGAAGTCAGAAAGGAAGCCTCGATCTGCCTTTTTCCCCAAACCTGATTTTAGGATCAATGTATACTCAATCCTCACATCCAGTTCATTCTTATGGGGTAGAAATCACTAAAGAAATGAGGCAGAGGGGGAGAGAAAGGGAAAGGATGTTAGGGGCAGAGTTAGCAGTGCATGGTTAGATCTGTCCACCTCACAGCCACAGGCCACATAACCTCCCCTACTCCCAGCCCAGCAGGACAGTTTCCAACTGTGCTTTGGGCTCAAGGCTACCAGAGGCCATTGGCTCTCCCTCTGGCTGGCCTTCCTACACCCCTCATTGGGCAGAGGTGCTGAGAGCCTCCCTCTCAACCCTCATCTTGACCCAAAGCTCGGGGTTCCCTTTCTTTCTGATTCTTCCCAAACTCACATTTGGAATTCACCTTAAGCCAGGCCCTGGAATTTCTACCTCAATCTTCTTCCTCCCAGCCTACCACCCTGAGAGAGAAGGAGGCCTTCTGTAGCCTCCACACCCCCACACCCCCCAGCAGGTCCTGGAGGCAGAAACTGTAGTTGTAGTGATGGGTTGGGGGAGGGGTGGTAGTACCGCAGGCCAAAACCAGCAGTCAGCCAGCAGTCACCACCTGGCACAGCCAGCCATGGACAGGGAGCCTAGGCAGAATAGCCCAGGCAGGGCAGAGTCTGAAGGAACCCTTTATTGGAAGGGCCATCCCAGCCCTTGGTCCAGGATCCTTGTCCTGGTGGCTGGTGCAGCCCAGACCAGGCTCAGTCCAGAAGAGGGAGGGTGAGATCACACACACACATGCCTTGGGTTTCCTTTCTCCCCTCCCCTAGAATCCCAAGCATGGACAACCTGGGTACCGCCACAACACCAGAAGACCCAGCCACATCCACCAGGGACTTACAATGGAAATACTGTGGGACTCGGGGTAGTGGGGTGCCGAGGGCGTTGACAAGTATATTCTGAGATCTGGGGCAACTGGAAAGTCACGGAGTAGACTAGGAGCCATGGGAAGATGGGGAACGAGCAGGAGGGGTCAGGGCCAGCTGAGGCAGTGAAACCCAGAAGGAGGAAGCCGGTCCCAGGGACTAGTCCCGGAAGGCAGAGAGCATGTGTCCATAGAGATAGTGGGAGTGAGCTGAGAGAAAGAGAGAGAAAGAAGAGAGAGAGAGGCATTGCTGTAAGTGGGTCGCAGGGTATCTGCAGAGGGTGGCAGACAACAAGCGCAAAGCACGGGCCAGACAAGCAGGAAGGGGCAAGCGGGGCAGCGCTGGCAAGAGGGGCTGGAGCGGCAGGGCCAGGCCGGCAGCCAGAGGCAGGTGCATGGGGCCAAAGGCCAGCAGCAGAGCGCCCGCATCCCACGGCCTGGCCCACTTACCCCGAGCCACGGGCACACCCCCGTCAGACCCGGGGCGGGAGGCTGGGGGGGTCAACAGGAGTAGGTCCGAACCGTGGAGGTCTCCAGTCTCTGCGCCCCCGCCGTCCCCGCTGGGAGGAGTCGGCAGCCGCGGGAGAACACACAGAGCGGCGGGTTAGTGCGGCCCACGCGCCCGCGTCCCGGCAGCCGTTAGTGCAGCGTCAGCCCGGGGGAGGGAGCGGGGGCCGCCAGCCTCGGGCTCACCCCTCCGCCTGGCCGGCCCCGGATGCCAGGACAGGAGCCCTCGCAGTGGCCGGGCCTCGGCCACGCCCAGCCAGCCTGTCACTCACCTTCTGGCATGATCTTCTTTGGCGGGGCCTGTGGGGGCTGCAGGGGCCCGAGGGTGGACACGCGGAAGCCCGCCGGGAGGGTCTCCGCGGAGGCGCTGAGCATGCCGCTGCCGTGGTGCTCCCGCGGCCGGAAGCGTTTCCTCCAGGAGGGCGCGCGGCGGAACACCTTGTCGTCCCCCTACACCATGGGGGACACGCAAAGGCCAGATGGTCATGCTGAAATTGCCACCCTCACTACCTGCCCAGGGGAGGGCAGTCATGGCTGGTTCTGGGGTACCACACCCATCCCTTTGGAAAGAGGGGGGCAAGGTCACTTCTTTCTAGCCCTTAGTTTTCCCATCTGTGGAATGAATCAGGGAACCTGAAATTCCCTGTCTCTGGGTGGCGGGGTGGAGGAGTTGGAGAAGGACGTGGAACTAGGAGGATCTGTCATCCTGCAGTTTTCACTGCTTCCCTGTCCTCTCTAATCTTTTCGTACTGGGTTTGGGATGCCCGATGACTTTTCAAAGTGTTCCTTTTCTCAGCCTCACCCCATGGGGAGTCACCAGCCAGCCCCACCGTACACACTCCCCTGTCATTCTGGGGCCTCTGCCTGGCTGTGGTCTAGGTATGCTGGAAGAGCACTGTGTCAGGAGTCAGGACACATGGCTTCCAATCCTGACTCTGCCATCTGACTAGATATATAGTCCTGGGCATAGTGAGTGACCTCTCTGAACTTTAGTTTCCTCATCTGTAAAATGGGAATAACATCTGCCTATTTCTCAGGCTGCCTAACCCTAATGAGATCAGCTAAGAGCCCCCATGACTCACTGGATTGGGCAGATGACCAAGCAGAGACAAGCTCCCCCAAAGGACATGACTGGCAGCCCTTTACCATCTGCCCCAACACCCAGGCCAGCCAAGTCTCCAAAATAACCCTCTCTGCCAAAGAGCACCCAGAAGCCCTATGAAATGACCCTCTGCACAGGCCTTCTTCTCCAATCCCCTTCAAAGCCCCTGTGTACCCTTCTGCTCTGTAGCCCTGCCCAATCCCCCTCCATCCCTGTGTTCTCAGAACTGACGCAGGCAGAGTGGACAAGCAACAACAAGGGACATTAACCCACCCATTCTTGCCTCAACCAACTGTTCTAATGCCAACCCCTTTCGGTTTGTCTATCCCAAGTAGGCCAAATGCTCAAACCAGTTCTTAGCATCATGTACCTGTGTTATAGCACTAGTCTTGGTAGCATTTTCACACGTATGAGAGTCTTTCATTAATACAGTCATGCACTGCATAACATTTCAGTCAACAGTGAATTACATATACAACAGTTTTCCTATAAGGTTACAACACCATAAATAAAAGAAGGTTTTTACGGTATCTTTTTTATGTATAGATGCACAAATACCATTCTGTTCTAACCGCCTATGGTACCATAACATGCTGCATGGTTTACAGTCTTGGAGCAACAGGCTGTACCCCACAGGTCTGTGTAATTGCACTCTATGCTGTTCGCACGGGACAGCATCCCCTAGTAATACATATCCCTATCATTAACAACTCATGACTGTAATCCTCTCCCTTTCCTCCCCTCCTTCCTCCCTTTCTACTTCTACTGCTTTCTCTCTTTTTACCCCTTGCTTTCAAATTCTATGCTCCCATGAGGCAGAAACCTTGAAAAGTTACCTCTCTGAGCTTTGATTTCCTCATCTGTAATATAGAGATGATAACCTCTCACCTAGTGATTACTGTCATAAAATGAGACATCTGTCATCATTATATCACCGTGTCTAGCCCAATGCCTACCACAGAGCACATATTCAAAGAATATTTTTATAAGAATAAGAAAGGACTAAACAACGCTCTGGTTAGGAATTCTTATTTTTGGTTGGTTGGTTGGTTTTAGAGGCAGGGTCTCACTATATCACCTACACTAGACTTGACCTCAAGCAATCTTTTTGCCTCAACCTCTTGAGTAGCTAGGACTACAAACACAAGCTACTACACTCAGCTGTAAGTTGTTTTCTAAATTAGAAAACATTGCACTATGTAATATGTATATGTATGTGTGTGTGTGTGTGTGTGTGTGTGTGTAATTTTTCCAGGCAGCAACAAAGAAAACTAAGATCCTAGGTATGTGAGGAATAAATGAGAGGATCAATATCACACAAACACTGGGAAAATTAGGATCCCTCAGAGTGGGGAGATAGGTAGAGGGTTTGGCAGTTTACTCCAGACTATAGAAACTACATATATAGTTATATGTGTGTGTGTGTATGTGTGTATATATATACATATACATATATATATACACACACACACATATATCACACAGAATGAGATTTTTTCCAAATTCTGTACAGTCCTAAGAAAGCCCTATCCTATGAGACAGAGCGATCATTCTGCACAAAGGTGCGGTTGAGGGCGGCACCTGTGGCTCAGTGGGTAGGGCCCCAGCCCCATGTACCGAGGGTGGCAGGTTCAAACCCGGCCCTGGGCCAAACTGCAACAAAAAATAGCCGGGCATTGTGGTGGGCATGTGTAGTCCCAGCTACTCAGGAGGCTGAAGCAAGAGAATCATCTAAGCCCAGGAGTTGGAGGTTGCTGTGAGCCGTGATGCCACAGCACTGTTTATCTGCTACAGGGCGATAAAGTGAGACACTGTCTCTAAAAAAAAATTAAAAAAAAAAAAAAAGGTGAGTTTGAGCCCTGTTAAACCCAACTAAGAAACTATGATCTGACTGAAGATGGAGAAGCTAAAAATAAACATCCTCTGGGCTCTTTTTTTTAACTTGGTTGAACCCAAATCAGCTAAGGCAGACCTGACAGGCAAGGGCAGGCAAGGTTGGTGACAGGAAAGTGAATAGGGCAGAAATAGGGAGGAGGAGGCAGGGGCCCAGGGGTGAGGGGTGTGTCCTCAGGAAACAGGTGAGTAGGGAGGCATCTCTAAGGGGAGCATATGGCTCAAGATGTCAGGGTCTTCCCTAAACACAAGGGGAAGGACTGATGAAATCAAGCATAAGGGACTGTTCCTTCAGTAACCAGGAGGCTGAGAGAGGAAAACTTTAACTTGGCATGAAGGTGGACCCAAGAGTGAAACTAGAGAGAAAGCTGGAATGACAAAAGCCTGAGCCAGTGTGTAGTGCTGTCAGACTACACTGAGGAATGAGAGAGCCAACCTGCCCTTTAACAACCTCAGCAGGGCATCCACCTCCATAAACCACACTCCTGCAGGATGACCTGGAGTCTACTGAGCAGGCTGGAGGTATGCCAGATTCATGGCACTCAAGATATGGGGTCAGAGAGATAGAGAAGAAGGTACAATTCCAAAGATATACAGCTTTTGGAAGAGAGCTTTGATCCTGCATGGTTAAGAGGACTAGCACAGAAGTGGAAATCCTAGAAGCATAACATATAGGGGCCTTCAGCTTTTATACATGGAATTAGCTTCATAGAGACTTCTCCACATCCTACTGCTACCCAAGACAAGTCCTGCTAGGCCTGGCCTGCCTCCCTAAACCCCTGACATCATCCCATCACCTCTGGGTCTCTGGGTCTCTTCCCTTAGTCCAGCCCACCAATTATCTGCTCAGGGAGAGCAGAACTCTTGAATTTCAACAAACCAGCAATGGACAAATCCCCAAGGCCCCCAAGTCATGGCCAAATACTCACGTCATCTAGCCTCCGGTCTGTGCCCAAGGCCAACAGGTTATTGAACTCCCTCTCCATCACTTGGCGCGCCTAGAGTCCATAATGCAAGAAAAGGAAAGGTGGGAAGGGCTATAGTTAATGACCTCTATGCCATCTTTCACCTGTTTCCTAGGGCCCAAAGGCAGAGATGGGAGTTTCAGTGCATTTAGCCCATTAGAGGCCTTCACACACCTTCCTGATATCACTCCTTCAAGCACACCTCAGAAATGAAACTGTAAGCCTCAGGATTCTGTCCTATGGAGCAAACTAGAAAAATGTAATTTTTTTTAAAAGGAAGACCAGAAAACACACAGAAGAATAGGCTTTACCTATAGAAAAAAAAGGTCTGAAAGGGAAAATCATGTCTGACTTCCATTCTGATGGGGCAAATAAGTATATGGATAACCAGAACTTAACTTATTTCAATTAAATAAATATATCTGGTAAGGTTCCACATCAAAAACTTAAATTAGTACCAAAAGCTACTAAAAAAAAAAAGTTAGGAAGATTGCTCAGTCATGGATCTTGCTGGTTTCTGGGTTGTGTGGTGCACAGAGGTTTTCTCCCAGAAGATTAACTCATTAACTCCTGAAGAATGCCAGAAACAGGGAATTTTTCAAAACTGCTACTAGATATTTTTAACCATTTTTAATGAAGTATTCCATATTGAGTCTGATACTACTTGTGTCAACAGCTATGTTAAATGACTAGGTCAGGAAAATAAGAAAGGTTAGAAAGCAGTAAAGAGGTGGCCCTGTTACTACTTATGAAATTATTGCTATCCTCAAAAGCTGAATGCATTTAGAGATAAGAAACCAAAGAAGGAGAAAGGCCCATTTCTAGGTGGAAAATATTAACCATTGAGTTCCAGTAAGGACAGTCTTTGCCAGTATTGGGAATACAACATTTTTATAAAGGATCTAAAAGGAAAAGCATAGTAAATTTTCAAGTATCCAAGTAACTCTGCTCCTCTGAGTAGCAAAGGGTAACAAGGATACGTATAAACTTCAGAAGCGTCTCACGGAGCTGTGTGAGTGGGTAGGAAGACTGCAAATGGGGTTCCAGGTGGCCAAGTGGAGAGAAACTGCACTTGGGAGAATCTAGGCTCTCCTTAGAGAATGAGGGGTCTGTGCGCCTTCTAGAGGGGTAAATAAGCATATAGACCATGGATAAAACCTTCTATTTTGACTGGTCAGGGGGTCACTCCTACAGGAAGGACACACTGGCCCTGTGTGCCTCCACCATCCCCCAAAGGCCAATGCAGTGTACTGAATTATGGGACAACACCCTCACTCAAGCTAAAACGTGTTTGCTCCCAGAATAGCCTGTGCAGCTCTGGTGGCTGAATTTCAAAAGAGATCTGACAGCAGCAAACAGTCCAGACAAGGGCAGCTAAAATGATCAGGGCACAGAGGCGAGTCTATATGAGGAAAGGCTAAAAGAATTAAGACCACTCTCTCTGGAGAGACAAAGGCTTGGGCCCAGAGGCAACACAATCAGAGTTTATGAAATCACAAAAGGTGAGAACTGGTTAGGAACAAATATCCTCACCAAACCTAAACTATTACGGCAATGCAGCTCTTCCCCAGGGAAAGCCTAATACGGGCATATTTAGGACAAATAAAATCAGGAAGTACTTTACACAACAGGTTAGTACTTCTAGAATCCATTACCCTCAGGAAGTTAAGAAAGGCCAAAAATATAAATAGGTTCAAGAGAATTTAGATATATATTCTTAGATGACAGCTCCATAAAAATGATGAAATGTAATTTAAGAAGATGTTTAATCTTTTGAACCGTTGACAGGGAGACAAAGCCCTGGCATGGAGAGGCTCCAGGCTGTGTAATTTGGTATATTTAGCATTTTTAAGCCTGGATGCCCAGAAGCCGATCCCTAGGATGGCAGCAAAGGAGAAATGGGTGCGCTGGTCCCTATAGGCCCCAGGGCTAATTCTCTGAGAAAAGTCCCATCAGAAAAGCAGGGGGAGCATATGACAGGTCCAGAGTCTCCTCTAAGAAACAGGGTTGGGAAGGGATGAGGCGCGGGCACAGTGTAGGATGCACATCAGAAGGACACACCATATTCCAGGCCCGTGCTAGGTGTGTATTTACTGGTCTTAAACCTCTAGTACATAGTAGGGACGCTATAAATGTTTGATGAATGGAAAGGGCACACTCAGAGGCTTAGAAATTTGGGAGGGGGCTTTTTGGAGGTTTGTCCCAGAGGAAATCACAATGTCTTCAAAATTCCAAGTGGTCCACATGCTCCCAGGGGGCTTGGGTATGCATGTGGGCCACTTGGAATTTTGAAGACATTGTGATCTCCTCTGGGACAAACCCCAAAAAAGCCCCCACAAATTTCAAAGCCTCTGAGTGTGGGAGAGACAAAGAAAGAGAGCAAGTGAGGGAAAGGGATTAAAACAGTGGTTCTCAACCTGTGGGTCATGACCCACAGGAACTGTATTAAAGGGCTACAACATTAGGAAGGTTGAAAGCCACTAGATTAAAAGGTCACCTACCTGGGTGTTCTGTGTGGGGATCTGGAGGACCAGGGCCAGAGTATTGTGGTCAAAATTCTCATCCAGGGCCAGCAAAGCACCATGCACACCACTCTCATGCAGGTTTCCTGCATAGTCCCGGAGCCCAATAGACTGGACCCAGTGAACCACCTGGTCATTGGTCCAGACCAGCACATCTAAAGGGTGGGAGAAGAAAAGGGGCAGAAAGAGACAGCAGGTTTGCCCAAGGGGACAGAAATAGAGCTACCTAGATCACAGGCCACCTGCTCTCTGGCTCCCACCCCACCCCTAGCTTTCCACATCTTCTTTCTATGCTCCCTGGCTCCTAGAGAACTAGCCCCACCCTACTCTGTTCCTGCCTGCCTGCAGGACTTGGAGTCAAGCCAGTAAGCTCCCAGCTTTCTCCCCAGAGCCCTTGCACAGGTCAACCCCATGCCCCCTAGGCTTGAATGACCGTCTCCTATTGTAACTGCCTTCAATGTCTCTTTTAAGACCGGCCTCTGTTTCCCCTCTGACCCCACCCAGACCAGCAAGTTCCAGGAGCTCACCAAGCTAAAGCACTGTCCTGGGGGATTCACTGCATCTGTCCCGTGGGTGGCCACTGTCTTGTGTGTATGTGGGGGAGGGGTACAGCCAAATGGCCATGCACTGTCTCCTTTATCAATCCAGGAGCCCTTGAAATTGGCCCTCCATCTTTACTCTCAGATGAAGAGCTTCTCAGAAACACAGAGGACTCCTCTCCACTCTGCCCAGGGCACCTTTACTGAGGAGGCCCAACCAGGACAGACAAGCTTACCCTTGATCTCGTGCTGGCTCTCCTCCCGCCTCTTCTCCAGCTCCTTCCGGTCATAATTCAGCCTCTTCAGACACATGATGCCATACTGAAGGCTGGTTCTGCAGGCACACAGCCCCTGAGCCAGAGCCTGCCTCCTCCCCACCTGTCCCACATCCAGCTCAGCCACAGCACAGAGAACACCCAGCCCCCTCATATTCTCTTCCCCCCACTCTCCCCAGGTTTACCCACAATTCATCCTGACCAATGCCCCGGCTATTCCCCTTTTTCCGCCTACCCCATATCCTCCCTCTCAGCCAGAGAGTGGGCCTGGAGGTTGATAGATGGAAGAAAAGTTCTGTGAATGAAATCAACATAGCCCTCCCTCTTCAGGCACTGGAATGACAAATACCCCTACAACCCACAAATCAAAGAAAAAGCAATAAAAAGATACTCCTTTGTATGCCCATTTCACTCAGGGTTCTTACAATGCCTACAAGATGCCACATTATCTGTTCCCTCACCTGTCTGACCCTCTTGGCCACTCTCCCTCTCACTCCCACTGCCGTAGCCATATTGATAGCTGTTCCTCAAACACAGCAGACTGGCTAGGCCTGCAGACCCCAGGGCCTTTGCACTGGCTGTTCCCTCTGCCTGGAACACTCCTCCCCCAATTTGCTGCATAGCTCATACCTTTGTCTCCCTTAAGTCCTTGCAGAAATGTTACCTTCTCAGTTCAATTCACTAGTCACCTTGTTCTTCAGATTTAAAACAGCAATGTCACATCACCACCCCTGGTCCACACTCACAATCCCCCTAGCGTATTTCACCTATTAACATACCATATAGTCCTTGTACTTTGTCCCTCCAAGTTATAATATAAGGAATGTGAACTCATGAAAGCAGGGAACTTTGTTTTATTTACTGGTCTTAAACCTCTAGTACATAGTAGGGACTCTATAATGTTTGATGAATTAAATGAAATAATTAGTGTAAACTCCTAAAAATACTTAAAGCAGTACCAGGGGCATAGTAAGCACACAATAACTAAGCCAGTCTGAGAATCCCAGATTTTGTGAGTTAAAAGAGACCCAGAGAGGAGCTGGGTGCAGTAGTTCACACCTATAATCCTAGCACTCTGGGAGGCTAGGATTGTGGGTGGATTGCCTGAGTTCATGAGTTTGAGACCATCCTGAGCCAGAGCGAGACTTTGTCTCTAAAAATATCTGGGTTTTGTAGTGGGCGCCTGTAGTCCCAGTTACTTGGGAGGCTGAGACAAGTGAAATTGCTTGAGCCCAAGCATTTGAGGTTGCTGTGAGCTATGACACCCATGACACTCTGCCAAGGGTGACAAAGTGAGACTCTGTCTCAAAAAAAATAAAAGGGACTCAGAGGAGACATCTATCCAAGCTCCCACCAATACAGGAGTCACTTCTGTATCATCTTCAGAATAGTCCCTGACCCCGTGCCACAATACCTCCAGTGACAGGGAATTTGTTACCTCTCAAAGAAGCTCATTCTTCCTTGGGAGAGCTGTAATGTTCTTCCTTAACTTGAATACTACTTTGTCACCCAGTCTCTCTAAGTTTTCCCTTTATGGAGGAATAGAAGGTCCCTTCCATCTCTGTTTTTGACTCTGTTATTAAAGCCACTGTTTTGTGACATTAAGTTGTGCAAACTTCCCCCTCCTTCCTTCCCCTCAGTTCTACCCAGGAAGCCCTTCTGCCAAAAACAGTGTCTCCCTTCCAGGTCAGAGACACCCTGTTTAGGAACCCTTTCCTGGCTCAAGCCACCCATGTATTGCTCAAGCCACTGGTTTAAGCCTTGGTCCACTGAGAGGGGCCATGGGCACATACAACTCATGACTGCAAGTACCTTCTGTCTAATTTCAATCTCATTTACTATAATTCTTGGTCCAGTTTCTATGAATTTCAAAGCTGTTGTTGAAAGCTCATTGTTCCTTGACTTCCATATTTTTTATTATGTTGTATAGCAACATAATAAAAATATAAAGCCCTTAAAATTATATTAACCAGCTCGGCCACTTACTAGGCTGAGGGGCACTCAGCACATGAGATAGCATCACACCTCTCCTGCAGGAAAGAATAAATGCAAGGGCTTAGCTCAACACTTGGACAATCACAGGCACTTGGTAATGGACCACAATTAGGGTCATTGATTCTGATTATTGTGTGTGCTTTGTCCTATCAAAACAGGAGCTCCAGACTGGGTGTGGTGGCACATGTCTATAATCCTAGCATTCTGGGAGACTGAGGCAGGTGGATTGCTTGAGCTCAGGAGTTGGAAACCAGCCTGAGCAAGAGGAAGAGCTCATCTCCACTAAAAGTAGAAAAACTAGCTAGGCATTGTGACAGGTGTCCATAGTCCCAGCTACGGGAGGCAGAGGCAAGAGGATTTCTTGAACCCAGGAGTTTGAGGTTGCTATGAGTTATGACGCCATGGCACACTACCCAGGGTGACAGAGTGAGACTCTATCTCAAGAAAAAAAAAAAGAAAAAAGAAAAACCAGGAGCTCCTTAAGGAGACCTGTTCAGTAGAACACTATGTTCCCAGGAAAAGAGCTCAGAGTTGGTTTTGAGAGACAAGGATTTGAGCCCCATTCTGTAACCCCCTGGTGAGTAACCTGATGGAATTCAACCACTATTGGATTTGTTTTCTCTATAGGTAAGAGTTCTTAAGCATCCCTTTCTTGCCATAAAAAGCATGATTTGAAAGAATTTTTAAAGACACAGAACATGCTTGTGAAAGATTAAGTTTTCAGGCATATGCACAGTCAAGGTGAGATAAATGAAAATGCTTCAGAAACTCTGAAGCACTCAGGATTCTGAACTGAGGCAGTGCCCATAGCTCAGTGAGTAGGGCACCAGCCACAGACACCGAGGCTGGTGGGTTCGAACCCGTCCCAGGCCAGCTAAAACAATGACAACTGCAACAACAACAACACAAATAGCTAGGTGTTGTAGTGTGTGCCTATAGTTCCAGCTACTTGAGAGGCTAAAGCAAGAGAATCATTTAAGCCCAAAGGTTTGAGGTTGCTGTAAGCTGTGACGCCATGGCACTCTACCCAGGGTGACAGCTTGAGACTCTGTCTCAAAAAAAGAAAAAAGAAAAAGACAAAAAAGATTCTGAACTGAATTTAGAGCCGTGAATACAGGCTAGGGCTATCTCCTGGGGACTGCGCAGAGGGGTGGTGGGGAAGATTTCCATATTTCTGGGTGGGACCATGCTGAGAGATACCCCAGGCACACCCCAGAGAACAGCTCTCCTCTCTCAGCCCTATCAATCACTGAGCAGGGGACAGGTGCAGCTAGGCCTGGCAGCGCCCCAGGCCAAAACAAAAGATTCCCTTTCAGCCCCAGCATACTATGGGGGCAGGGTGCAGAGTGGAGGACACAGCCTTCTCTCACAAGTCAACCCACAGGCTGGGGTCAGGAAGGCTGAGTTCCAGGACAGGAGGCATTGCGGTGTGATGGCTAGAGAGCTGGACTTGAGTCAGCAGACGTGGGTTCCACCTGTACTCTGCCATCATCTGCAACTCACACTGGGTTCCGTGCTTCAATTTCCTCATCCATAAAATGGGAGGTTAACTAGATCCCTCCCAGATTTAACTTTCTATGGTTATAAGATGAAATGACAAAGGAACATCCACTGAGCCCTGAGGAAACCTTGAAAAGCCACACCTCTACCCCCACGTCTTGTCTCATTATCCACTCAAGGCAAAATACCTGGCTCAAAGAGCCACCTATGCGACTTGAAGCTGGATGTTAAGAAGGACTTCCAAAAACTGTCAGCTCCTGGAACTGTTCCCACCCACAGCACTCTGCATCGCAATTGCCTGCTGAGACCAGGCAGGTAAGGCAAGTGGGGGAGGCCCTGGAGGGAATGGCAGGCCCGGGGGCAGGCTGACTACCTAAGACAGTACCACTATCAGCTCCAGCAGACTGTCCCCAGGCAGTAATGTGTTGAAAGATCTTTCCATTTTTCAAGAGGAGCCAGAAATCCAGAATTTTGTATAAAAATCTCCTACTGTTTAAATACTGGCAACTAGACTTGTCATTTTAAAAATCCATGTGGGCCAAACAGAATACATCTGTGGGCCAAATTCTGCCCACAGGCTGCCAGTTTGGGACCTTTGCCACAGATACTTTGAGCAGATCTTTTCAGCATAGAGGAGAGGACTGGATGACATCCTGTAAAAAAGGGTATGAGTTCAAAGCCAAGTGGCTCCAGTCTGGGATGTTCTCAGGACAAAGGCCCAGAAAGACCTTTCCCCTTGACTTGGAAGCAACGAGACCCCTAAATTAAACACTAGGTTCAGTCGAGTCTTCCCAGGGTAAACACAGTAAGCCCAAAGACAAGCAATGAAATTCAGACCCAGGGGAAAATCTCAAAGACAATGAAGCTAAAGAGAAATAACTTTTTGTGTTAGCCTGGGTGCAGCAGCTCACACTTGTAACCCTAGCACTCTGGAAGGCTGAAGAGGGTGGATTGCCTGAACACAGAAGTTCAAAACCAGCCCCCCAAATAACCAGGCATTGTGGGGGGTGCCTGTTGTCCCAGCTACTCGGGAGGCTGAGGCAAGAGGATCACTTAAGCCCAAAAGTTTGACGTTGCTGTGAGTTATGAGGCCCCAGCACTCTACCCAGGGTGAAAGTGAGACTCTGTCTCAAAAAAAAAGAAAAACACAAATTTTCTGTGTCTTAGGGTTAGAGATAAACGGCTCAAGTGACAAAGTGAGACTCTGTCTCAAAAAAAAAGAAAAACACAAATTTTCTGTGTCTTAGGGTTAGAGATAAACGGCTCAAACTCTCAAACTGCAGGATGAGACAAGGATTCAACAGAAAGATTTTCCCAACAGAGAAACCTATTACCACCCAGAGCTGGCCATGAAAAGAGATGGAGCACCTCCTATTGCTGGGGACAGACCCCAGAGTTGGAGGAGACCCCTACTGGGGAGGTAGCCCTACTCTCCAGCCTAACTCACCGATGGAAGCTGTCTACCATCTTCAGATGGACCCGGAGGTCCTTCTTGGTGAGGTGATCCAGCATGCGAGCGTCCACCAGGCATTCCATGAAGTAGCTGCGGTACTGAGGGAGCCCCAGGCTGGGCAGCCATTCATTCCCAATCCACTCATGGTTCATGTCCCCATAGGCCAGAGTCTGTAGGAACAAGAAGAAGGAGGTCATGGGGGAGAAAGGCAGAACCAGCAGGTTGCAGCTGGCACATCTGGTTGGGAGAAATATGAATCCATCCTCCACCCCTGAGGGAGGAAGGGCAGTTCAATAAGACTCTAGTTTATCTCCACGAAGGGACTGGTAGTGGTGAGGGATGGGGATTTTAAACAGAAGTTTTTAAGATCTTAAATGATAGGGCTCCACCTGAGAACCAATCATCTACACTAGTGAACAGAAGCAACTCTCTAGGCAGGAGATAGTACAAATCCTGCCTGTGGACCATGGATGCATTTGCAGTGTTAGACAGCTGACTTGTCTTCCTGGTTCTCAAGGAGCCTCAGGCTCGCTGAGCCCAGGAGAGAGACTGTCATACAATGGACTTGCAGTGTGACAAAGGAAGCCAGTCTTGCCCTGGGAAATGGCAAGTCCCATTCACAGTCCACAGGAATTTAACTGTAGACTGAATATGGAAAAAATTGTAAGAGTGGCCTGTGTCTGAATAAACAGTCTCCAATTCTCTAAGGACTGGTCCCCTACTCCAAGAAATCTCCAGGCCTTTGTCGCTTGCCCACGTGCACCCTTCTGCCTGGCTCCACGAGGCCTGCCATTTGGACATGACCTCTTGGCATAAGCAAGTGCTTCCTGACAACCCATTTTTAGTTTTCCTAAGAACCCCCCATCAACACTTTCCTAGCTCTACTTGATGTTTTTAGATAGAAAAGTCTTTGTTAACGTTTTTTTTCCTCAAGGGACAAGATCTTGCTATGTTGTCCAAGCTGGCCTCAAACAATCCTCCTGCCTTGGCCTCCCAAGTAGCTGGGATTATAAGTCTAAACCACCATGTGCTCAGCTATTTAGTTATCTTTTAGAATGTAATCCTTGATACACACATAACCATATATAATGTGTTCATTATTAAGCATAAAAATGAAATCGGCATCTGTGGACACTATCTAGGTTGAGAAGCAAAGCACGATCCACTGTCATGTCCACTCTCCCGCTGCTTCTTCCTCATCTGGTCTCCCGCTGCCCCTCTGAGAGATAACCACCATACCGAGTTTTCTGACTATTGTTTCTTTAGTTTTAGAAAATTGTTTTTTCAGTTTTACAATCACCAATGTCTATTTCTCTAAACAATATATTATTAATTTTGCCTGGGTTTGAGTTTGGGGATCCATGAATCTTTTAGAATTTTGAGTTTTTCATTTAACTTATAAGTCTCAGGTCCCTCCATCTCCTCTGCTGAGCAGGGTTTTGCCACATGAATGTGCATGAATTGATTCAGCCAGTCTCCTGTTGACGGGGTCTTCCCTGAAAGTATAAACAGTTGCAGCTCCACGCTTCAGTCTTCTTCACGGCTCTCCTCACTATTGTCGCTTTATTTATCAAGATTGTCTTTTTTACCTCTATTGATATTATTTGTTTACTGACATTACCCCTTATTTGTTTACTGATCCACGAGGGTTTTATTTGTTCACTTCTGCGCCCAGAGAGCCTAGAAAGACCTAATACCTTTATTTGCTCAATAGATATTTGAACATTAAATGAATGAATCAAAGTGCTTTGCTCAGTTCACCAGGGGTAACCTCTAAGAGGGACAAAGAGAAGAAGACGCATACTAATACAAGTCTCATTATTTGAGGGGAAAAAGGGGTTAAACTCAGGAGAACAGCCAGGAACGCAGCAGGCACAGCCATCCAGGGCTCCTCACCAACCATCCTGAGAAATCAGAACACGTAGCTAAAGGAACTGGGGTTGCCCGGGTATGGTGGCTCACACCTGTAATCCTAGCATTCTGAGAGGCAGAGGAGGGTGGATTGTGTGAGCCTAGGAGTTTATGACCAGCCTGAGCAAGAGTAAGACCCCATCTCTTCTAAAAATAGAAAAATTAGTCAGGTGTTGTGGTGGGTGCCTGTAGTCCCAGCTACTCAGGATGCTGAGGCAAGAGAAGCTGGGGGTTCTGTGTTTCGGCAGGAGGAGAGAACCTGAGTGCAGGGCTCTTAGAGTGCAGAGGTTTAAACACAAATGGACTGAGAGAGTTCTGCCAGGGAAAGAAACTAGTGGAAGAGCATTGTCCTAAACTTCTGCAAGTTGGTTCTAGACCAGGGAAGGGAGGCTTACCTGAGCCCAGCTGCCCTCCTCACTGTCCTAGCAGGAACAAGTGCAGCATGTCACGGAAAACAGGCAAAATCAAGAAACTCGGATGCCTCTACCCCAAACCCCAGCAGTGAGAGGGAAAAGATGTCCCAGTATCTGAGTGGGTGACTAGGGAGAGCTCATTGGGATGGTTAAGAGAGAATAGAAGGCTGGTATGTGTACCCATAGTATTTGCAGTGAGAGGGGGACAAATGTGTGTGTGGCAAAAACACACTTCCACGCCATGCTTGAATAGGAGCCAGGCAAGATGCCAGGCTGACCCAACCTTCCCTGTTCCTCTACCAAGGATCAAGCCCAAGTATAGGGACTCTAGCAGCTCAGGCTCTGAGCCAGAACAAGGCCTCCCCAGCCCAACTCTCCTCTCTTGCAGCAAACCAGTGGTCTAGGGTAAGATGTGACCTTCTGGAATAGACCCCCACACATAAACTGCTCAGTCTCATCCCTCTCCCCACAACCTCCACCCTGAGAACAAAACCTCATCACACATCAGGGATACCAATCTTAGATCTACTGCAACCCCCTCCAGCTTCCCACAACCTTCTCCTTATCCTCCGGCAGTCATCAGTCCTAACCCCAGGCCCAGGGCCAAGGGCCAAAGGCCATACTCACTGTTTTAGTAGATGTTGCCATGGTTTCCATCTCTTCATGGGTGACCCAGACGTTTCCAGAAGACTGTAGGCAGAGAGAAAATCTGGCTGGTCCCAGGATCCCTATTAGGCCAGGAGCCCCAAGGACAAGGAAAAAACTCCCTCCCCCTGAGCTCAGCACACTTTCTAGCTCTGAGTAACTTGAAAGCAGAAGACACATCTCTTTTATGATCATATCTACACTGCTTAGCACAGTACCCAGCACACAGAAAGTAGGTGTTTCCTGGATGAATATGAATGAATGATGCTGATCTGGAATGTGGCTGACTCTGGTCACAGAGATGGACAATAATAAAAGATTTTACCCTGGGGGTCAATGGACCATTCACTGCATTCATGTGTTGAGGTTAGAGGACCAGGACGGAATTCACAAATGCCCTATTCTCTCTGCTTCCCCTAACCTGGCAATAATACAAAACCCCAGAAGGTCCATTCGGAAACTGCCCAGAGATCTGCAATTTTTAGCAGGATAGGGATGGGGAAATGGAGTCCATGGGTAGTATGAAAAAGCAGGTAACTAAGCCTGCTGGGATCCTCCTAGAATCAATGTCACAACCTCCCAAAGCCCAGGGAGATCCCTTCATGAGGACAGGAGGGAAGAGGCAGAGCTCAATGTTACCATCTTCCCAAAGCCCTATGGGAGACTTTGCAAATACTATTCCAAGGCCTCTAAAAATGTCCTGGGTGAGAGAGAGGCCACTCACGGTCCGAGAGGTGGGTGGGGCAGAGGGACTAGTCAGCGACACCATCTCCTGGATGGCCAGTCGGAGCTTGAGCCGGTGCAGGGCATTGCTGATGCCAATTTCCCGCTGGATCTCTGTGTCCGACAGGGCAGACATGATGGCTCCACTCTTAACGTTGGCCCGACAGGCTGCCACATACCAGGCAGGCATCCCCACCCAGAGCTGCAAGCGTAGGGCACAGGAAGATAAGTCAGCCCCTTTCCCCAAGACCTGGGCCCCACTGTCAAGAGCTTAGCAATATCAAGGGGCAAGGGCCAGCCCTCATCCATGAACCCAGTATAGCAAACACAGCGTGTAGGATTGCAGAGATGAGTGTCATCAGATCCACCTCTTTCTCATTTTACAGGTAAAATCTGAGGCCTGGGATGGTGAAAGGATTTTCCTAGCATTGTATGGGCAATTAGCTCCTGCAGGTAGCCTATTAAGAGTCAAACTGCCTGTGAAAGTCTAAAGCATCAGTGGTTAGTTAGTTCCCCTTATCCAAACTGAGCTACTCATGAAGCATCAATAGGAAGCATCAGTTCTGTCCTCTGAGTAACTGCTTTGTGTGTTTTTTGGGAGAGGAGCTAAATGCCAGATATGACACACAGCATTTGGCAGGGGAGAAACATGCTGGGAAAGTTCTAGGAACACCACCTTTTTCTCCAAGAGTCCTCATTGTACTCCACTCCCTCCTGAGTGGAGACCTGAGTGGACTCCCCTTGCTCAAGCTCACCTCTAGCCAGGACACCACAGTAGGGCCATCCCACTGGGCAAAGGGTGTTCCTTTTCTGCGGGCATCTTCAAGCAGCTGGTGTCTTGTAGGAAGAGGAACAATAGTCATTAATTAGCCCTTCCTTCTCTCTCAACCATGCTTGCTGCTGGGCACCACTGGACTGTGCCAAGAGTTGGATTCCCACTCCCTACTCCCCATCCTTGGACTTCCCCTGCTCTGTGTCTAAAGTAATGTGACACCAAGAAAAGGAGCAGGAACAGCTCTCCATCCCCAGAAGGTGAGGGGCTTTGTTTGCACAAGACCTAACACACTGACTTGGCTGTTTCAATCTGCCCTGCCAGAGACCTACAGTTCCCAAGGTCATTCTCCCACAGCCCCCTTGCCTCCTTCTCTCCAGAGGCATCCTAAGAACTTCCCCCAGGCCTACTCTGCCCACATGGGCCAGGCCAACTCAGTTCAGGAAAGGTCTTCCTAGGCTCTGGCTCCCTGAGCTCAGTGCCATGGTAGCCCCAGCGAAGGAAAGTGGATGTCAGACTGAGTACCCCACCCCCACCGGAAGAGCCTGGTTTGTGATCTTACTTCTTCTTCAACCGCCGGTCCTTTTCTGCCTGGGTCCCCAGCTTGGCAGGCACCAGGGGCTCCTGCAGACTGAGCTCGGAGTCTGTTAGCATAACTGGAAGGGAAGAGATGAGTGTGTCAGCCAGGCCCTCCCCTTCTCCTCCCTTGGCCTGGGCCAGGGGTGTACAGAAGCAGCAGCAAGGGGCTCCTTAACACAGGACAACTCAGCAGCGCCTAATGGAACCACTCATTATTCCTGGAGCCTCTGCGCAGCATCCCTGCACACAGGCAGTTCCACAGTGGCATCAAGTAGGGCATCTCCAGCCCAGACAGTCCCCTCAGGAGCCTCAGCCTTGGAGGTGTTTTCCAGCCAGATGGACCAAAGTTATCCCACCCCAGGCTCCTAGACAGAAACTGTTCTTCCTCCAAGCCAAGGTACAAAGGAAATCCAGAGAGCCAGACACAAGGGGGCTATGAGGCTAAGAGAGAAGGACCATCCTGACTTGGGTCCAAGTGGAAAACCTGGCACATGAGAGATGTCCCTCTTGGCCTCTTTCTCTGGGTACAGTCACTTGAACAAAGCTGCAAAGGGGAGCATGCATAGCTCTGTCTTCTATAAGCATCTCCACAAATAGATGCTGGAACCCTACAGAATTCATGGCAAGCGGCAGAGGCTTCAAATTTATTTAAGTCCTGGTCACTTAAGTGCATAGAGGGTAGCAGGTGTGGGTAACCCAGAAAACAATCTGAGATGCTGTCTTAGGTTTAGATGCCATGTGCTGTGGGGGACATAGGAAATTACAAGGCTTCCTATGTCTGGCCAGCTCCCCAGGTCCCCCCACACCTGTAGACTGGGGAGGGTTTCTACCTCATTCTAGGACCCCTTCTCCCACTCCCTCCTCTTTTCTTTCTCTTCATCCTCCTCCTCACTCAGCTACCTATGTTCTGATTCACATTTTCCTGAGGTACAGAAAAGTATAATTATGCATTTGAGGTTCAAAGGTCTTTCTTCTAGTTGATCAAGTTCTTCCCTTGCATGAAATTCATTGATGCTTCCATTGCCTCAGGGGAACTTCTGAACCTCTTCCACAGATGCCGCAAGGCCCCCATGAGCAGCCCTATCTCCCCCTCCTCCCACCCTTTCTTCTCCATTTGAACACACAGAAGTGCATACAAAACTCTGACACTCACAGCCCTCTCCCTTTCCCAGACCCCCTCCCCTCACACACATTAGCCTCTCCTTGGCTAATTCCTTTTAGGCCTTCTAGCTTCAGTTCAGGTGCTGCTCACAGAAGAAGCCATTCTTGCTGCCCCCACCACTCCCTGGCCAAGTTCTCAGTCCAGAAGCACCTTGGGCATATTGATAACATGAGATTGATCTGGAATCACCTCTTTATTTTTTCCTTTTCATTAGACACTGAGCTCCTTGAAGGAAGGAACTATCACTCCAACACTCATTACTAAGCCTTATAGTAGTCACTCAACAATAAATGTTTGTGGAACAAATGACTAAATAGATGACAGAAAGAAAATGGGGGGAAGGGAAGGAAGAAAGGAAAGAAGAAATAGAAGAGAGGGGGACAAAGAAAGCTACCATTTATTGTGTAGTATGCCAGGCCACATACTAGAATTTTATAGTAGCACAGAGGTGATAATAATGCTGCCCTTGCCCAAGCCCTTTCTTGAATTTAATGTCTATGAACACGGAATAAGGTGTTATAATATGGTGAGTCCTGGAGGCCAGAGGCACTAGAAATAAGTTCCAATCAAGAACTATTCTTCCAAAGAAAGAACCAAGAATCTTTTGAAGATCCTGAGCACAGTACACCAGAAAACCTCCAAACCGGAAGCAACTTCAATCTTCCATTTCCAATCTTCCACTCAGTGCAGGAAACCCTTCTACAACATGACAAATGAATAGCCATCCAGCCACTGCCTGACACGTCTAGTGGCAGGAGCCACCTCACGAAGCAGTCCATCCCCCTCTCAAATAGCTCTAGCAGAAAACTTCTTCTCCAGACCTGAGATCTGTTTGCCCATGGCATCTGCCCACTGGTCCCTGGGAGGTAAGCAGGAAAAGCCGGATCCAAATATACTTTCTTGCTTCTGACACCCCTTCGCCCACCCAGCCCTCTGATTGGAAGGAAACAGAGACCATGGCCTGTGGCTCCATCTCGACTCAGCTGGATCAGCCGGCCCTTCTCCTTCTTCCCAAACAGGCGGCCAATGGACGACTTGATGCCCTTGCGCTTGGCACCCTTGTGCAAGGAGTCCTGGCTGCTGTTGCTGCTGCTGGGGTTGCTGCCCTGATCCTCCAAGGCACTACAGGATGACAGCCAGGAGGGGGTGAGATAAGAAGAAATATACTTAAGTTATAGCAGGAGAGATGGAAGTTAGACTTAGGAAGAACTTATATTAAGTGTCAGGACTGGGGTGAGGGCAAGGGACTCAGAGCAGGTGACTAAGGGAGACGTGGGAACATCCTTCTTGATGGTATTTCACA